TTACGTGAAATTGCATGGTGTTCAGCTCGGCGATTCTTTCTGGGACCTACCGCGGTCGAATCAGATCGCCCTGCAGCTGAAAGAGTGCACAGTGGAAATGTTCGCCGCTCGCAGTGTGCGTCGACGCTGCGATCTGCTCAACGCTAAGCCTATTCCACAGTTCATCGCCGACGGACGAACGACTCTAAAAGAAATCGCCGAAGTTCTCGCTATGCACTGGACATCAGGGTCATGAATTTCATTCTGCAATAGCATTGATAAAAGGTGCCGTTTCCACGGGGCGACTGACGGAGGCTCCGTGATCGAATTTGGCTACGCACTCGTACTCGTAGCCTCTGTACCCCGCAGAAAAGCGCGCTTGAGGAGGCAGTTGTGGCTTGGTTTAATCTGAAATAAAATGATTGGACACTTTTTCTTTTTCAATATTTCTTTCCAGGAGCATGGTCGCGCTATAAGCACGCGGAATCCTACGGCTCTAGCAAATTTAACCAAGATCATGCGCGGTGTTCACTCGAAAACGTAACGCACAACTAAATTCGGTCCGAGCAGGTCATTTTTAACGTACGCTATACTCTAGCGTATTGCGTACGTAAGAGCCAGCAACGCTATACTAAAACTGTCTAATAACAGAATACGCTGCTGTTGCTCGCTAAATCAGTTTTGAAAGTGAAAGGGAGGCGCCGAGCGCGTCCCTTTCACTTTCAAAAGCTCAATTCGAGCACCCGACCTGCATGCGCAGCTGCGAACATGCAACTTGTATTTTTTTTTTTAAACTGTGCGTCATCTATAAGGAAAAAGCTACAATAAAGCACGGTTGAATCTCCCTTAAAATTGTTAGTTTACATGCTGTAGGTTACCTCAGTTATGGTGGATAGATTACCCCTTCCAGTCGAGCACCATGGCTCAGTAGTGCAACTCCCGCGGAGAGGGGCACCTCCTTCTCACACTTCACTCCACCTCCCGTCGTTTGAAGCGCCACCTAGATTTTCTATTCAAAACTGTGTTTTATAGAGTACGGTGAAACGCCATGTAGACGATCTAGAGTCTAGACGCTGTGCTTTGAAACGTACCTATTCCATAGAGTACACTGCAGTTACCATAGCAGCCGTCCCCCCAAAACGATGGCACGTTGAACGAAAGGAGGCAAGCCGTGGAAGGAGATGGGGTAGTGCTCGTGCAAGCACCGTCTATGAATCGTCGTGACGTCACGGGTGGAAAGAAGAGGGTGCCACCGAAACATATCGACAAGGGTGCCTACATGTCTGTCATAAGGCGAAGACATCCCTTGTTGCACAGGGTGGGCCAGCGCGTGACGTGCCTGCGCAATCAGTGCGAGGCTAATGCTCTAGATGGCGTCTAGGCATTAGCCAAGGCTACGCGCTCGAGGAGTCACCGGATTGAGCGCATTTCAAAAGCCATAAAAAACGACTGGACTGAAAATGGTCGAGAAGTCACCACTCAAGCAAAGGCGCGTGCATGTATGAAGGCACACTTAATCTCGCAACAATATAATGTCCGAGTCCCAGAAGAGCAACCAGACAGAACCGACAGCCACCGACAAGCCTCAAACACGTGCAGCATGCACGCTCTATGGTACTTTTGGCAGGCGTTTAGTTGTTCGGTGCCCGTGAAAGCAAGAACCAGTGATTGCGAGCCTGCCAAAAATACTCGTGTGCATGCTGTACGTGTCTGAAGCTCGTCACTGTCGGTTGTTTGTTCGTCGCTCTAGTGGGATTCGGGCATAACAAGTCACTAATACCCTAGTTACACTAGAGCTCTTAACTGCCATTAAGCCAATGATCGCTGACCTCTCCCAAGTGTCATTGAGCTCAACTAAGCTGTTCGGTGTTACGCGGTACATGGGCCATTAAACCTATCGAGATGCGCGTCAAGAGACAGAATAGAAACCGAAACGAGGCCAAAACTGATGTGACATTTTTGTTTAAATAGCGATGCAACTGAGTTACATGCAAACTTTTCAATCATTATAAGCACTTAAAATAAAATAAAACGAACCTTCTTTCCCTTTATTTTAGAGAAAAGAAACGATAATCAGATCGTTTCAAACGAATTAAAGCAAGAGAGACACGATTGATAAAAGTCTTATAGGCACCGACATGCCCATGGACCCTCGCAGAGCTTTGGCTTCCGCGACATGCCGTGATCGTTCTGTGGCAGCTCTGGACTCGAATCATTCCTCTGCCGACAATATTTGCTGCCACGATACTTTCCGGATACTTCCCCCAGTCTTCCGCAATAGCAAGTGCTTCGCTGGCGACGGCCATGGGTGGCGATGCGACGGACGCCGCCATCTTTAGCTCTATTGGGGCGAACCCCCATCAGTTAATTATACTCTATTTCACCTTATGATGTACCGCAGGAAAGCCTACAAGCGCGAGCTGCTTGCTCTAGGGCACGTCTCCTGCGGCACAAGCTCTCGTGCACTAAAGGCAGCTGTCAACACTATGAGCTCGCGCTCCTAACATTCGCCGTGGTACAACATGAGGTGAAGCGTAGTATAACTGAGGTAGTCCAGCTCAGTTGAACTCAGTGATCGTTAGCGTTTCAATGACAGTTAGCGCCTTCGTGTAACTCCGGCCGACCGCGATTGAGTCCACTGTGGTTGGCTTAATGACATATAAGAGCGCTAGTGTACACTCTCAAGAAAAAAAGGTGTAAAAGGGTTTATCGTTACACGCTTTGTCCCATATAATACACCCCAAAACTTCATTTCGACGTACAGCGCACTATAGTCGAACAGACGGCCCCATATTTTACGAGGGGCTTGATAGCCGTGTGGTACAACTTATTAAAATAGCTAAGGTACGTATCAAAGACCACAAAAAAAAAAAAAACATCCGAGTTTTTACAGAAGGGCCAAGAAAACCCCGATAATATTTTTTTTGTAGTCAGTAACACGTACATTAGCTATTTTAATAAGTTGTACCACACGGCTATCAAGCCCCTCGTAAAATTTGGGGCCGTCTGTTCGACTGTAGGGCGCTGTACGTCGAATTGAAGTTTTGGGGTGTATTATATGGGACAAAGGGTGTAACGATACACCCTTTTACACCCTGTTTTCTTGAGAGTGTAACTAGGGTATAACTATACTCCGTTCACCCTTAAGCTGAGACTAGAAGCTCCGCCTTCAGCACGAGCTTGCTGGCTTCCGCAGTGCTTTGGTTGCGTGTGCCTGTGCGTTCACACTTGTATTAGCAAGGGCAGAAAGATCGCACTGAAGGCGGAGCTTCTAGTCTCAGGTTAAGGGTGAACGGAGTATACGTTTGGTATTTCAATCGTCCTGCTCCGGTTTCCTCTCATGCGGACCTGGAACATAGATTGTCCAGGGACAGAAAATAATTATATACCAACACTTGTCAGCAAAAATAAAGGACTGCCTCGCGTCCGAACCACCTGGACAACGAAAAAACGTACGCGTTTATAATATCGCTCATATTTGGGTTATATGAGCGGCCTGCAATGCGTCTCCGAGTCATTCCGGCGGTGCCTGGAACCATTCGCGTCAATAAAGAAGCGTGCGGAAAGAAAATGGGGGCCTTTGCGCTTCGAAGCCCCATTTTCCGAACGACTTTCGCGCACGGAAACAACAAGGAACGGGAGAAGTCAATTTAAACTGGGAATGGCAGCCGAGCAAGCACCAACGCAGACGTTAGAGAAAGCAATTACTATAGAGTGTTTGGACACAAAGCGAGCTTGCTAATGTGCTATTTTCTAGACCACAGGCCTCTTCTTTGGTTTTTTTTTTTTTTTTAATCTTTACTCGCAACGTTTTCTCTTTTTTTTTCTTTGTAACGTGTTTGTTGGTTAAATAGCATTAGGATAAAAATGAAAGCCGTTCACAACTCCCTGTAACGCCGGATTAGAGCCCAGCTCCTGAGGAGGAGGATGGAAGGGTACCGAGGAATAGGATGGAAGGGTACTGAGGGATAGGTGACTCCCTGAGGTAACGTGACCTCAGGGGGTCACGTGATCTCAGGGGGGGTCACGCGACATCAGGGGGTCACGTGACCTCAGGGGGTACCCCGAGTCGTGACCCTCGTGAGGGTACCCCTCGTGACCCTCGTGAGAGTAACCCTCGTAACCCTCGTGAGGGTAACCCTCGTGAGGGTAACTCTCATAACCCTCGAGACCCTCGTGAGGGTAACCCTATTGAGGGTAACTAACTCTCGCACCCTTCGTGAGAGTAACCCTCGTAATTTTCACGAGGGTTACGAGGGTTACGCCGATGCCGACGGTGACGGCGACGCCGCTCAAGCCGGAAATGGGCGCCTAAGAGCTGCGTTCTAAAAAATACACGCCAGCGTAGACAGCCGTTACAGTGGCGATTTTGAAGTTGTGTACGCCATTACCAATACCACGGCAATGACGCGGTTTGTGGCCGACCTGGCCCAGATAGAAATGTGCATCGAACGTCTGCACGAGTGTCGTTTGCTCTTTTCCATTGGTTTCTCATCTACGGCTTTTGTGGAATTTGAATACATTTGTGAACTTATACACAAGCACGCGCTTTCGCACAGTGCAAGCATCGGTCGGGGCAACCATAGCCTCCTCTGCACTGATTAAGCCTGGCAGATCGCCACGAGAAGCGACCACCGAAAAGGAAAAGGTGGAGCGCCAGACACCGAATGAAAGGAGAGCCACGTGACTGGCGCCCCGCTGCGGCGAGACGCCGAAGCACACTTCTCCCGAGCGAACAAGTGTGTTCCGGGTCCTCGCCGCTGCAAAAGCTGTGCGCTGACGTTCAGATTCCCCGAGAAATGGCTCTTTGATGCTCTGTGCTACCAGATCCTCGCGCTCCAAATCTGCGACAGTGCATTCTATGGCTCCGTGGTCAAGCTGCCAGGCTTTGTGAGTATAGAGGAGGCTATGGGGCAACATACTCGAGCCTCTAGCCCCGGCTTCGCTTTAAATCGAATCGGAGTATCTTCGCCATTATGCGCCACAATAGTTAACGATATGCAAGCTGCCACAATCCTCATTTTATTATCACGTACAATGCAACGTGGCACCAAACCCAGGAGAAGGTCTCAATTTAGTCATTTGATTCCAACCCGTTCAACCGAGTTCGAGGCAAGCTTCCCAGGAATGACCTCGACGGTGCGAGTGAGTTCATGCCCTGGGCAGGGCAGCCGCGCCCTGCGGACTGGTGCCGGGAGCCGGAGCCAGGGCGGCGCCAGCGGATGGCGGCGGAGACTGCGGCGGGTGCGCGTTCATTGCCCCAGGCGGAGACCCGGCCAGTATCTCGGACGCGGGCAGGACCAGGCGGACGCCCCAGTTGTTCTGGCGCCACTGTAACAGCGCCTGGTGGTGGTGGCGCACCTACAAACCCAAAAACTTACGAAAACTTTTTTTCCTTTTTTTTTTTACAGCGGAGCTGTTAAGGACTAGGTTCCCCAAGATCGTGTCCGGTACCAAACAAATGTCGACACAACACTCTGGTTGTCGCTGTCGTTCATAGATGGCGGTAGCTGTCCAGAGTGTTGTGTTTGCCGGTTGCCTGCTTGCCGCTGTCGCTCATAGATCGCGGCAACCTTTCCAGTCTTTCCACTCTGTCTTGCCGACTTGCGGACGGCCATTACTTCATTGCCACCATAGTACAGCTTCGCTGGTCTTCCTTCTTCGCCAGAGTGGAAAGGCTGAAAGCTTTTTTTTTTTTTTTTTGCTTAATATGTACAGCAGTCGTTTTTTCAAAAGGCCGATCTCAACAAGCGTCCGGTGCATACATGACGCAGCCATAACTTTAGTTTTTATTGTCCAATAGAGTTAGGTGGCAGTGTACGCGACGGCTCGTGCCGTGCGGTGCGGTGCTCTGCACGAGTAGAGCTGCAGCGAGGAGGTCGCACGTGCAGAAAGGCTAAAGTATAAACCGCATGTAACCAATTTGGCGAGCGGCGAGACAAGCGACGGCGACCCGCTTCGCTGTCGCTCGGTCAGTCGCGCGACGAGGCGATTCGCGTGAAAGCGAAGGGAGCAGGCGACCAAGGCAATGAGCGACGTTTTCTAGAAATACAAAAACCGAGCGACGCGACGAGCGACGCGACGAGCGATAGTGAGAAATCTTCGTCGCTTGTCGCTGACTCTTGTCACTGTCGCTCGTCGCTGACTCTCGTCGCTGACTCTCGTCGCTAACTCTCGTCGCTGTCGCTCGTCTTGTCGCTCGCTAAATCGCTTACATGCGGTTCAGCATTAAAGTTCCTTCTATACGTCGCCGTAGTGGCCGGCGGAGTGCTAAAACTAGCTGTTGAGATCGGTCTATTGGTAGTACAGCTATACAGCCATGTCTCGTTAATATGAACGCCTGGTGTACCTCAGTTGCCTCCAAAAATCGTCCGTAATCTGAATCATGCTTTAATTGAAAATCGAACCTTTGGGAGTTATAAGGGGCCTTCAACGCGTCCCCTAGTCGTTCCGCTGGTGCCTGCCTTTACATCAATGGCGTCAATAGACCTCTTCCAAAAATCACGTGCCGATCGGTAGAAGGTCTGACCCCCCGCGCAATCGCGTAACAACGTGCAAATAGCGCGAGCGAAATAGCTTTGAACTGTGCTCCCACTGCCAGGGGTTTCCCCAGGAATTGAAATTAGGGGGGGGGGGGGGAGGTCTAAGATTTTAAGGGGGGGGGGGGGGGGGGGGGGGTATTAAGAATGGAGGAGTTGCTGTGAATTAAGTGTGTGCCTTAAGAAAAACAAGGGGCGGTGTACACCCCCCCTAGGGGCTGTGTAGGGAAATCACTGCCCGCTGCACGAGGGCTTCGGCAGACGAGGCGAGAAGGAACGCAAGGAGCTCTCGCTTGCGTTCGCCACTGCGCGAGGATTTCACGAGAATGGGGCCCTTAAACTTCAAATCCTCATATTTTGAACGACTCTCGCACACAGAGACAAAAAGAAACAAAAAAGTTTCGTCACAAAAAAAAAAAAATCTAAACTGCTCTCGTTTTTTGTTGTTCTTTTTTTTTTTTTGTGGAAAAGTAAATAACAGATTGCCGAATGCTCAGTCTCCGGCCAAATGTAGCGTTAGCGGTCCGTACCAGATGCCAAAGTTTTAGAACGAATCGTTATTTCATCCAAAAGTTATAAGCCATATTTGGAAATTTTCAGTGGGAAAATGGTGGCCGACGAAGCGTATACTATCGGCTTCGAGTGAAATTGGAACAGTGACGGAATTCCCAGCGTAAACTCTTAACGCCGTGCCGTCTATGGCTACCTATAAACGAATGAAACTTCTATCTTAAAAGTTACGGGCGTCGCCCTTAAAGCTTTCATAAATTTTCCGTTGCCTTAGAGGTTAAAAGAGCGATTCTTTGTTTGTCTAGAATCACATTTAGTGGTTACCATCATCATCATCATTTATTATTCCTTGAAGGCCCAGGGGGTATTACACAAGGGAGTGAACACTGCCTTGTGTTGTAACCTCTAAAATGCAACCTTTTAGACAAGAACGGGTAACCTCTACACGATTGGCAGGCACGATTGTTTATTTTTCTTTCCTCCAAAAAAGAGAAATTGAAAAGGGAAAGGGGGAAAGAAAGGACGACTCGAGCGAGAGGAGGCACAATAAGAGGGAGAGTGAAGCCAACCTTTTTAGTTGAACGAATTCCGAAACTATAGAGATGTAACCTCACGTGACCGGACTCTTTGGCGCCTTCACTGCCTTCACCGTCGACACGAGATTGCGGCAACTTCGGTTTTGGAGGGATCGCGGTTGTGACCGCGCGCGGCTGTCGTGCATGGTTTCGGATCGGAACTCGTCGCAGCTGTTTCATCTGGATTACTCTAAGATGCCAAATCTTCACAAGGTATGCTTGACGTTTGGCTAGTGAGAAATATGTTATACTCGACGCAGAATTGAGCGAATGACGTTTTAGCGAACAGTGACTTTTGGGCGAATCGACGTTTTAGCGAATAAAGGGGGCGCGCGTCAACCCATTCGTCGCGCTGCGCTTACGCCGCTTCGCGGCGACATTCTCCGGGGGCTCATTACGAAAATGTGAACCCACTTGGCCCACCCGAAAAGACCGCTTCGCGGCGTCCGACTATTCGCTAATGTGTCATTCGGTGAAAAGTGGGCGTTCGCTAAAACGTCATTCGATCAAGTGAGTGCCTCCCCTGGAGCGAAGTGCCTCTTGATGATGCAGGTACGGTTGGTTTCAAGACTCACTTTTGTGCATTGTCTTGTGTGAGATTTCCGATAAAAAGTTTCATACTTCTAATGTATATGATTTATGTAAGTAATAATATAATGCCTTACTTTTTTTTTCAGAAAATAATTTGTTTGGAGCGTTTGGCAATATTTACGACATTTCCTTTTCACGTTCTTTACAAAAAAAAAAACGGAATGTTATCGACGAAATTTCGTTGAACTATATCGTATGGGATTCTCTTTCTGGAGGTACAATGGGAGACAGCGGGGCCTTGGGTTGCCGGCTGGACGCCGCGAAGCGGCGTCTACGGGGCATTAGGTGGGTTAATAGATCTGTAATGAGCAGCCGCAGACTGTCGCCGCGAAATGCCATGAACACAGGCGGGGGAGGGGGGGGGGGGGGGGGGGCTTAGCAGCTTAACACGCTCTTCAGTGAAACACTCGCCGTCCGAAAAAGGGTACCCCAACTAGCAAAAGCTATCCGCGTCGTGCGTATAGCCCCTTGCGGTCAAGGTGCACGAGCTCGTGCATGTAGGTTAGTAAAGCTATACGCACGGTGTAGTGCAACTCGACCGGAAATGGCTTCATGCCCGACGCGCGGAGCTCGCGCCATCTAGCGGTGGACACGGGCAGTGGATATCGGCCAGCCCGAGCGTGTGTGCGTGGTGCCAGCCATAGGCGTGCGCACAGGGAGGGCAGGGGGGGCGCCCGCCCCCTCTAATCACCTAGGGGGGGCGCAAAGTTGGCCCGATTCGAGGCGCGACTGCGCCGGTGGTATGATTTCTTTTTCGACGGCATAAAACACCGACGCCAAAGTTCCCTCCCTCTAGTGCGCGCAACGAAAAAAACAACTATAAAAAGACGCCGCGACGCAGCGCCAGGCGCCAACCCGTCTACGGCCAGTTGTCGGCGAAAAACCTTCCAGGCGCCAAGCCGTCTATGGCCAGCCGTTGGCGAAAAACTGACACGGACAACTGCAAAGCCTTAAAGGCTTTGCAGTTGTCCTTGTCACTAGCTGCGCATGCGAGCGGACGTTTTCAAAGCTCGCCATTGTGAAAACAAAGCTGAGATCAACTCTGAGTCATGATCGGCTTTGGTGGCTGCTTTTACCATTCGTTGAGCAACAGATTGCATTGTCAACAAGTTCTGAGTCAGTCATCGAACAGTTCGCGACAAAATCGCGTAGAATTTTGCTGTAGACTTTTCACCGATTGGTGAAAAGTACTATATCTCCCGCGTGCTACACATTTTTAGTAATCTAGTCTTAAAATATGTTTACCACCACATAACACATCCATTAGTTTGTACAATGTTTGTTGAGCATGACATAATGCGTGCCTGTTATCTTGTGCAAAAAAAGTAATTATAGCCCTTGTTTCTATTACATGTTTCTATCAAGCGCCACAAAGTAAGATTATGATCTGTACATTTGGATGCTCAGAAGAAAAAAAATGGCATGTCATAGCGTTTATCTTCAATAATTACTAGATATTGTAACTTGCTGTTTCTCGTATTTTTAAAGGGCAACTCCGGTCCATACTTTCGATTTTGGGATTATGACTGTTTTTAGTGCGGTCAGCGTCTCTGAATTGCAAGGTGTAATTTTTTTCTCCTTATTGTGCATAGTTTTAAAGATATTGACGTTTCAAAGTTTTGCTTGGGGCGCGGCCAACAAAACCGAAACTTGCCGCTCGAGGCTCCGGCAACACTGGGAATCGGCTGCTATGTGAACGTGACGTCAAGATCGTTCTCAATCAACGAGTACGCAGGCCGAGCGGCACCTACCTCTGTTGCGCTAGCCGTCTAAAGATAGGAGGTAACCTGATTTTGTTTTAATTCTGTATACGTGGTAGTTATCCAGCCCATGTAGCAAGAGTTAGTGCGTATACCCAAAAAGCTAGCGACTGAAAAACCCGTGAACTCGTGCGGTGCCATACTCGGCGGCCGCCGCCGTGCGTGCGTTATGCCGTACTCGTCGCTTGTATACCCAAAAGCTAGCGACTGGAAAACGAGTGAACTCGTTCGCTGCCGTACTCGGCGGCTGTCGCCGTATTTGCGATCTTCCGTGTTCGTCGCTAGGCCTAAATTGTCATTGGGGCTCCGTGGATGGAGCGGCGTTGCTCTACGCCGCGCTGCCAGTGACGTACAGTACTGGGGGCCCTCTCGCTTTCGCGCTGTTG